TTTGATTGCATTAACTTATTGTAGTATGAAAGGTGAATCACGTGCTAAATAATGAAACTAATGAAAACACAAATGTTTAGTCGTTTCTCTTTGCTGACTGGTGGTCTTGTATGATTGACATGTCATACACACACTAAGACAACTAGGATAGACCGGTTAGAGTTGGAATGGAATGATGGTGTAACCGGTATATTACATGCCTATGTGTGGGAAGGCTACTTCTGAGACAAAATTTTCGACAGTCATATGTTACATGAGTTTGTTTGCTAATTTGTGCTTAAGGTTTGCTTGAGAGCAAGCAAAACTTTAAGTTTGGGGAAGTTGATAAGAATGTAATTTACATATAAGTCACCCCGGTAATAGTGTTGAGATTGCTTCAAAGTGTATAATTTTTAATGAATTTTCTACTACCTAATATGGTTTATTTGTTATATCTTTTACAAGAGTGATATGAGCAAAATACTTAAAAGATGATGAAAAGGACAATTTATGCACTTGAAGAAAATTTGGTGAACTCACCAAGCACTCCGCAGAGTGAAGAGACCACTCCACGAAGTGATTCAGAGAAGAGAGCAACCGAGAGCTGAGATTCCTCTTTCTGCACCACTCTATAGAGCGAGTGGGGCACTCCACGGAGCGAAGTGCTGCTGAATGTGAATTATCCAAACCACTCTGCGGAGTGAGGCAAGTCACTCTATGGAGTGACGCGGGCCGATTTTTATGCAAGTTTTAAAAACCTAATGCACGCCCCCAAAAAGAGATATCAGACCTTGGAGAAGGCTACCAGGGTTCCATAGAGAGAGACACAACAAGAGAAAGGTTGGTGATCACTTCAACAACAAAATCCGGAGCAAGATCGAAGTCGTCGACGAATCACTCTCATAGAGTTTTCTTTCTCTCGACTTTGTGGACATGAACTCCTTGTTTTCTCTCTGTGTTTTAGTTTTTTATTCATCTATGAGTCGCTAAATACCCTTCAGGATTCAATTTCAAAGTACATGAAGATTGTTTGATTAGTTGTTTAACTTTGTGGTGAAGTTGAATATCTAAGTTGATTGTTCTTGTTGATACCCAGCAAATATCTCGATCACATACTTGTTGGTGCATGAAATCTTCATAGATCTAAGAATAGACTATGTTGGTTAGGTTTGTCAACTTGGGCCATGACTTGTGAGTAAATGTTTAAGGTTTCATGTCGGATAGGAATATACCGCCATGGCATGGTTGATCTTACAAGTTCTTGAGTGTAATGACTCCATGGTTGAGTTCTATCATAGGAATATAGGAGGTTTGCAACTAACAAGATGTCTCTCTGACTTTGGAAGAAACTTTGAAGCAATAAAGTGAACCGGTTAATATTCTGTCACCATAGCTTTAATAACTAATCAGCAATTGGATTGGAAATTGATATTGAACCCTATCTCCTCCATAACTGAAAAATCCTTATAATTTAAACATTCCATTGTTTGCATTCTATTTTCTAAAAATCACTTCTATTGTTTTAGTTACTTGTACTAAGAAAGATAGCATTAGGAACACATATTTAATTTGCATGTCCTCGTGGGAGCGACACACCTTACCGCTACTACAATTGCAACTCGTAAACCTTGCGAGTAAAAGAGGCTATTTTGCAGTCATCAGCATCTCAAGCGGGCACAGTTCATTTTAGTGATTTTGTTACTTTACATAATGTTCTGTTTGTTCCTAGTCTGAAGTGTAGTCTCATCTCTTTGTACCACTTGTTGGAGGATTCCCATTGTGTTGCTCAATTCACTAACAAATTTTGTGTTATTATTCAGGACCGCACCTCGAGGACTCTGATTGGCGTGGCTGAGTAGTTGGGGGGTCTCTATTTCTTCCGGGGGACAGTTGGTGTTCGGGCAATTCATGCTTCCTCTTACGTCTTTGCATCCTTGTGGCATCAGCGGTTGGGGCATCCTTCAAGGTCCTTCGCCAATTATCTCTTGTTCATTCTAGTTCTTCTAGTATTAATAATTCCTGTGACATTTGTTTCCGAGCAAAACAATCTCGCGACAGTTTTCCTGTGAGTATTAATAAAAGTACGAACCTAGTTTCTTTAATACATTATGATTTGTGGGGGCCGTATCACAATCCGTCCTTTAATGGGGCTCGATATTTTTTAACTATTGCGGATGATTTTTCTAGAAGTACTTGGATATATCTAATTGATGATAAGACACCTGTGTCTACTCGTTGGCAATTTGAGAAGTTGGTTAAAATTGTGCGTAGTGATAATGGTTCCGAGTTTTTGTCTATGGGTGAATATTATTTTCGTCAACATCGTATTTTACATGAAACTTCTTGTGTTGGCACACCTCAACAAAATGGGCGTGTCGAACGTAAGCATCAACATATTCTGAATGTGGCCCGTTCTCTCCTTTTTCAAGCCAATCTTCTAATTGAATTTTGGGGTCATTGTATTTTAGCTGCGGGTTATCTCATTAACCGCACTCCCTCCTCTGTCTTAAATGGTAAAACTCCTTTTGAGCTTTTGTATAACAAGCCTCCCTCTTTTCAGCATCTATGTGTTTTTGGTTGTCTTTGTTATGTTCATAACTCCAACCGGGGGACAAATTTGCCTCTCGTAGTCATAAATGTGTGTTTGTGGGGTATCCAATTGGCAAGAAAGGTTGGCTTGTGTATGATCTTGAGCTTCGGAAATTTTTCTCTTCGCGTAATGTTGTCTTTTGTGAGAATCAATTTCCATATGCTTCTTCGTCATCATCTTCGATAGACTCTTCTCTGACCATTGTTGTGCATTTTCCTATCCCAAATGATAATGACGAGAGTGTCCTTTAGGATGCTCCTCCAACTCTCTCTCCAGTTCCACAGAATGATTTTTCTCCTTCTTCCCCGGTTTCCTCTGGTTCTGAGGATGTTGTGTTATCTCCTGAGGGAGGGACTTCTTCTTCTTCGGATGACTCTCCGAGTTATTGGGTCATGGTCATGGTACAATGTTTTCATCTACTCGCCTGCATTGTTACTCTCGTCATACAGTCAGCCCCCCACTCCCTCCTGCTTCACCTGCTCCATCTCCGTCCTCAGGTACTCCTTATCCTATAACACATTATGTAAACTGTTACTCTTTTTCACCTCAGCATCGAGTTTTCTTGGCAGCTCTTACTGCAGGTGTTGAACCTCGCTCTTTTCGTGAGGCCATGCAAGATGCCAAATGGCGTTCTACTATGAGTACTGAGATTCGTGCTTTAGAACGTAACAATACCTGGGAAATAAATTCTTTGCCCCCAGGCAAATGTGCCATTGGTTGTAAGTGGATTTTCAAAATCAAGTATCATGTTGATGGGTCGGTAGAACGCTATAAGGCTCGTCTTGTTGTTCTTGGTAATAATCAGGTTGAAGGGATTGATTATCAAGAAACCTTTTCCCCTGTTGCTAAAATGGTTACAGTTCGTAACTTCTTAGCGGTTGCTGCTGCTAAAAATTGGGAATTACACCAGATGGATGTCCACAATGCTTTTTTTATGGGGATTTACATGAAGAAGTCTATATGAAATTCCCCCCTAGTCGTACCACCACTCCTAATCAGGTCTGTCGCCTCCATCGCTCGCTGTATGGTCTCAAGCAAGTGCCTCATTGCTGGTTCGCCAAGCTGACACATGCTCTGAAGCAATATGGTTTTGAGCAGTCTTCCGCTGATTACTCTCTTTTCACCCTTCATATTGGTCGTGTTTCTCTTAGTCTCTTGTTTTATGTGGATGATCTTGTTATTGATGGTAATGATAGTGTTGCTATTTCTACTTTCAAGCAATACTTGAGCAATTGTTTTCACATGAAAGATCTTGGACCTCTGAAGTATTTTTTGGGCCTGGAAGTTGCTCGTAATTCCTCTGACATTTTTCTTTGTCAAAGGAAATATGTGTTGGATATTATGTCAGAAGTTGGTTTGTTGGGTGGAAAACCTGTTGCGTTTCCCATGAAACAGAATCATCTTCTTCCACTGGCTGAAGGTTCCCTGTTCTCCGATCCTGAAAGATATCGCCGTTTGGTTGGTCGTTTGATTTACCTGGCCATTACTCGTCCTGAACTTTCTTATTCTGTGAATGTGTTAGCTCAGTTCATGTTGTCTCCTCAGCAGACTCACTGGGATGCTGCGCTTCTTGGATTTCATTACTTGAAACAAAACCCTGACCAAGGTATTTTACTTCGTGCTGATAGTGATCTTCAGTTGTATGATTGATGTGATTGTGATTGGGCTGCTTGTCCTCTGTCCCGGCGTTCTCTTATTGGCTGGTTTATCACTCTTAGCCTTTCTCCTATTTCTGGGCGTACTAAGAAGCAGTAAGTTGTCTCTCGTTCTTCTGCCGAGGAGGAATATTGTGCCATGGCTAGCACCGTTTATGAGCTCAAGTGGTTGAAGGCTTTACTTCTCAGTCTTGTTGTATCTCATTCTCAGCCTACGCGTCTTCATTGTGATAGTCAGTTTGCTCTTCATCTGGTTGCTAATCCTGTTTTTCATGAGCAAACTAAGCATATTGAGGTGGATTGTCACTTTTTTCGTGATGCGTTTACTCAAGGCGTTATTTCTCCTGGTTATGTTTCTACTCGCTCTCGACTTGCAAATATCTTTACAAAAGTTTTGGGTCAATCTCATTTTGATTCTTTTTTGTCCAAGTTGGGCCTTTGGAATCCGCATACTCCAACTTGAGGGGCGTGTTGGACTATATATATATATACACACACGTGTATAGAAGGGTAGATTAGTCTTTGTGTGTATCTAGGGTTTTACCGTAAACCCTAAATTCCTTGTAATTGTGTATTTAAACTTCCTGTTGGGAGTCGATCAATAACATACATAATGTTTGTACCATCCACGTCTGGTTTGTCAATTCATCATTCATCTTTTGGTCATCATTTGGAGGGAGCAAGGACATTTTCGCGAACTCTGAACTACATTGGGACTCATCGTCATCCATGGCTACATTTGTCGGAAGCAAGGAAAGTCTTACAGACATTGAGGCTCACAGGGATTCATGGTAAGCGCTCATGACATGCGGATCATTAGGCTCGATCTTTCGGATCAATATTGAAATATTCATCTGGATTTCATGACGAAGAAGCTGGTGATTAAGAACATCTCCATACTCGCAAGCTTCACACTGGAAAAGGAGAAGTGAAACCTCTAGGGCAACAGCTTGAATATGAGCCAAGAAATCTTCTCTGGGATAACCATTCCTTTGTTTGACAAAGTGGATTATATTCTTCAAGAAACTCACGTGCTCTTGCAAGGCTTTCATTGCTTTTCCATCGATCTCAGCACCGATGAGTACCCATCTTTTTCCGGGGGATAGAGATAGATTCTCCAGAAATGAAGTAAGAATTTCCAAGATTTCATCGGCCGTAAGATAACGTGATTTCCGTTTGTCATCCGACAGAACGAAGTACCATTCAAATGTTTCTCCCATAGCAGATAAAATGCTACCATGAAACCCCTGGAATTCCTCTTCCAGTTCAAGATTAATGACATTTCGATGCAGTGAAATAGGAGAATTCGCAGAAAGCAGACTGTCCAAATGAGGGCGAGGAGTATGAATCTGATCTACGCTTCTGTGAACAATATCCTCAATCCTTCCAAAGAAGGATGCCAGAGCTACATCGTCGCCCAACATTCTGACACTAAGAGCAAACATTTTGAGATTTCTTAATGTAAATATCAGATGCCCAACATCAAAAGAAGGATGGTTCAGGAACATTTTATAAGTATATTTATGTTTAACTTTGGATTGACAAAGATCTTGTTTTGTAACTTGCCGTCTCTTTGCCATTTGATGGAAAATTAGTCTGGCGGTTATTTTTTTGTTGGTCTTTACCATGGTGATTTATGACTGTCTTGTTTTCTCACAGACTCTTTATTGTTTGTTGACGAAGTATGAAATTGTATCGGCGTCTCCGGTTGGTTACTCTGGCGGCCAAAGCGGTATCGAAACCCTAAAACCTGCAAAAGAGGGACTCGGAGTCTCCCGAGGGTAGACACTCTGATGCTTAAGTCAGTAAGAGTATTCGTAATTAGGGTATAAACCGGGTGCATAAAATGTACCTTTAACCATGAGGGGTTGATCCCTATTTATAGAGCTAGGTTATGGAACCCTTTCTTGGTAAGAAAGTAATTAGGAACCGACCTAAAAGCTTCCAGAGGCCGGTTGGACCTTTTACCGAACTTGGGCCAGCCTAGTCGCGGGTCGTACTAATTTGGACTCGTCAAGTGCCCCTTATCAAGCCTATACTTTGAAGTCTGAAGATAAGGTAGGCTTGATAACGTGGAGTATATAGTTTCCTCAAGTTCGGAAAAAGCTGACTTGAATCGAGAACCTATGACAGGTTAGGATCGAGGAGAAATAAAAGCATTAGCACGTACCTTGTCGAATGAATGTATCATAAAGGGCGATTGACGTTTATGCCAATTTGTGACGAAAGGAGAGTCATCAATTCAAACTTTCAAGTGAGAAGTCGATAGGTGATGATCTCAATAATATGCCCCATAGAGATACTAGCGCAGATGCCCTATTGCTTGAGAAGATGATAAAGAGAAGTGGAGATTCTCACTATATTATATATAATGGTACGTTGTCAATAACTGACAGAACAAGAGATCCGCTCGAAGACTATAATACGCACTTCTGATCGAGAAGCATTAACTCCAAATTTCGAGAATAATAAATGAGAAGCGATATCGAATAGCCTCATGAATAGAGGCAAGAGATATGCCTAAATGAGGTTGAACACATGAGTCTCGATGACTTCAAGAAGATAATATTGAGAAGGAGATGTTCGGCAATACTATGTTGAGAACCAAGAAAGAAGATGTAATAGACTGTGATTACTGACATTTATCGTCGAAGATATAAGCTCAAGAAGAAACATAAGCTGGAGCTGCATGCCAAGAACTCAGCCCAATATAATCTGCTGTCGAGAAGGAAACATAGTGGAGATTTCCACTAGTCTCAATATGTATGTCATTAGCAGCGGCTAAGCTGTACCAACTGTCGAGATGAGGAGTCGACTAGAGAGCTATGACATATGCTTATAAGCGAGAGATAATCAACCCAAACCCTCGAGAATAACCACAGTGTAGTGGATCGAGAAGCATTATAAATGAAGACAGAATATTCAATGCCGAGGATATAAGTTTGAGAAAGAACACTGTCTGGGATTGAATCAGCACGTCGAGAACTTGCCCCAATGTGACTTTCTATTAAGAATCCAGAGACTCGAGAAAATTCTCTCGAGCATAGTATAGAATTAGATAGTAGGGGCTGTCACCATAAGGATTCTCGATTGTTGAGGAGGGACAGAAGAGTTGAAGACACCGTAGAAGATGCCGCATATAAAATTGTCCATGCTGGGATAGCGAGACTCGAGAAGATTCTCTCGAGTAGAAATCCAGACCAAACTCAAGAATTGTAATTATCTGACCTTGAAGAAGGTACACAAGCACTTAAGCTTATTTATATCCGTCCAACTGACCCGCTTGCCATTTCTCATGTCCCGAGAAATAAAGCATAGAACCCTTGGTCCGGGTTTGAGAAGTATAAATCAGGTTGATTTGTCGAACCCGAGTAGATGTATAATGTCGTTGCCTGAGATTCGAGCAAGAATCAAGGAGGTATTACGCATTAGTGTGAGAAGGAGCGATGTCCCAGTCTGAGGACCGTCGAGAATAGTCATAGGAAGAGATCCGTAGATCAATAATCATCGAAAAAACAAAAACAAAACCTCCCAAACACCTCCAAAACACCTTACACACCTTCCAGACACCTTAGAATCTCCCATATATAAACACTCCTCCTTATAGATAACCCCGGAGCCATTACTCATCTCGGAGCCCCCAAGTCTTGGGGTGGAATTTGGCAGACCGAGACTTTAGATGAGAGTGTAATTCCCGCCGCTCAGTTCGAGGAGGTGCCTGATCAAGAAACCCCCATACTCGTAGGGTTAAGGCAATAAAATAGCGTCTACCAGAAGGAGATAGATTGTAATTACCTAACAGAAGGAATAGGCCTGTATAAACGAGGTACAAATTGAATTCAAGAACATCGAGAATAAATTCATTTTTATTCTGATGTAATGGATGATATGATAGATCGATCCAAGAAAGTATACTCGAGAACAAGTCTAGTTCTCATTAAGGTATAAAACACGTGTGTTTAGGTTCGAGGGGTAGTCAACCCCTCGTTCATGAAGATGATAACCTAGGCCTTTCTCAATACTGGATGTTGAGTACACGGCGTATGAGTTATTTGTAAAGCGCTTATAATGGCCGGATGTTAAGTACACGGCTCTTTTGCAGGCGATCGTGAAGAGGATACCTTTGTACAGACGATTCTGAAAAGAATGTCTTTTTGCGGACGATCCTGAAGAGGATATCCTTGAGGAAACTTGATTAGAGTTCCTCGAATACATGCGATTCTAAAGAGAATGTCCTTTTAAGGACGATCCTGAAAAGGATATCCATTCAAGTGACTAGTCATGCTTATCTGGGTGTAACTGCGTATATGAGATATAACTGCTCCCATGAGTACTCGAATGGGCTACCACTATGTGCATTATACTGATAGTCTATATCCCGGGTTTAAAACATAAACGCCCTAAGGTCAGGGCGAACTTGACGATGCCGCTATATTCGAGGGATCAGCTGCGAGAGTTACGTATCTCTGCTTTTTTTGCCCCAGAGTTCTCGTGGTATGTTTTTCCTGCAACTTGAGGAAACTATATACTCCACGTTATCAAGCCTACCCTATCTTCAGACTTCAAAGTATAGGCTTGATAAGGGGCACTTGACGAGTCCAAATTAGTACGGCCCGCGACTAGGCCGGCCCAAGTTTGGTAAAAGGTCCAAACGGCCTTTGGAAGCTTCTAGGTCGGTTCCTAATTACTTTCCTACCAAGAAAGGGTTCCATAACCTAGCTCTATAAATAGGGATCAACCCCTCATGGTTAAAGGTACGCTTTATGCACCCGGTTTATACCCTAATTACGAATACTCTTACTTACTTAAGTATCGGAGTGTCTACCCTCGGGAGATCCCGAGGCCCTCTTTTGGAGGTTTTAAGGTTTCGATACCGCCTTGACTGCCAGAGTAACCAACCGGAGACGCCGATACAATTCCATACTTCGTCAACAAACAATAAAGAGTTTGTGAGAAAACAAGACAGTCATAAATTAAATCACCATGGTAAAGACCAACAAAAAAAGAACCGCCAGACTAATTTACATCAAATGGCAAAGAGACGGCAAGTTACAAAACAAGATATTCGTCAATCCAAAGTTAAACATAAATTAACTTATAAAAGTCAATAACTAGAAAAGATTTGCAAGTGTCCAAATTCTAGGCATTGAACTCTGGAGCAAGCATTAATGAGCGGAGCTAGCTTGAGGTCATTAACAAGAGTTGGGAAATTCATCGCAAGCCCAAAACATCTAGTACAAGACCACAAATTCGACCAAATTGGGTCCTAAATAAGTGGTTTTCGAAAAGGTGTGCCAGAGTAGAGCAAACTCTTATTTACGGGATCTCCGATTGGTTTTAAATTGTCAAATCTTACGAAATGAAGTGCTTACTGACAAATTTATTGTTGATAATTTAATGTCGTGGTTTATTTTAACCTTTCTCAATGAATTGCTAACCTTTGAAAGTCCCACAGAAACAACAAGGTTTTTTAATCAAAATTAGAAAAATTAATACTACAATATAATCTGTCATTAATAAAAATTTTCAAAAATTAAAAAATTAAAAAAACCCCTAAAAAATTGGATAAGTATTGATATTAATTAAAAAAATGGAAAATTTATATTGATGATGATTACAGTGATTAAAATATATTGCCTATATATATTAAACATTTATGAAACTGTTATAAAGTATATTAATTGTGGATGTTGTATTAATTCGTCTTAGAATTTTACCTCTCATCAGCCAAATCTCCATAACTATGTAATTTTTGTAAGTGAGTTAATGTAATCTATATCTTAGGATGATCATAAGCCTATAAATACAAATTAAAATGAATGAGAAAAGACCCCCAACAATCTCACGACCAATTCATTTCTCCATTTTGTCTTACTTTACATTTTTTTTTATCATCACGAAAGTGCTCTAATTAATCCTTTCTTTGGGTAAGTTCAAAAAGTCTATTTTATTTTCATACAATGGCCAATAACCCTGGAAAACTTAAGTTCATAGTTCTCGATGTTTTCGGAGAAAATTATTTATCATGGGTGCTTAATGCCAAAATGCATTTATATACTAATGGGCTTGGAGAAACTATCAAAGAAGGCAATGAGTCCATAAATTAGAAAAAGGCCAAGACCACAATTTTCCTGCGTCGCCACCTTCATGAACAGTTGAAAATTGAATATCTAACTGTTGAAGATCCATTTGTTTTATGGATGAGTTTGAATGAAAGATATAATTCCCTAAAGATGATTATGCTGCCTAGAACTCGTCATGATTGGTTACACTTGTATTTCCAAGATTTCAAAACTATTAGCGAATACAATTCAACAGTTTTTCGAATCAGATCATTGTTAAAAGTATGTAATGATGAAATAACTGATGCACTAATGCTAAATAAAACATACTTTACTTTTCATCTTACAAATGCGCTCCTGAT